CTCAGGGTTAAAGGGATAGATCACTAAAAATGATAATTCGGTCACCATTTACTCATGATGTTCCTTTTTTCGTGACTCTTTTCCAAATATAAGATGATACCAAACGCATCAGAAAAGTAGCCTTTTACACAACTACACAACGTAGAATATGAGCTATGAGATATCATTTCTGCCACTTGACAGCCCCTTGTCAACATTAACCTACATTGTACAAAAGCAGCGTGAACAATCTGGTGAGTAAATGATGGCAATTTTTATTTCGGGTGAAGTATCCCTTTAAGCTTCGGCATGCAGTTTTACCCTCTGTCCCTCTGAAATCTCGCAGGAATCATGCACATTGTGTTCAACAAAGGCACCAGTTGTAAATCTAGACTTCAGAGCGTGTGTCATGTGATGGAGGAGCTGTCTCTCATTTCCCTGCCATAGAGAGGGTTTCTCTGATATCGCAGCTGTTTCTCTGATGAGTTGGAGAATCTGGGAAACATTGTCTGGCGAGATCAAAGTGAAGCGGGGCTGTAATTACCACGGTAACCAACAGTAAAGCTGTTAAATTAAGCAGGCTCAACCTTCAGTCTGTTAATGAGAAATTTCTCTCCACTCATTAGAGAAGGCATTTATGAGGCGAGACAAAACCGCACACTGGGGTCTGGAGAGTTATTTATTGATTGAAGGCATTTATCATACCTAAACATTCAGTAAATAAAGTGTTACGCAGTTACACCGAAACTAATCAGGTCAGAGCTACTCTATAAGACTACACTAAAGCCAGATTCAATTAATCAAAACAAAAGAAAGACCATTCAAAAATCCCTTCAGAGAAACTTCCCAAGGTCCAATTTGCCTGAGAAAATGGTAAAACTACATAGACACAAGGTTCACTAGTGACAGACTGATCTCATGAAATGGCGTATGTATGACACCCCAATTCGTATTTCAATTTTTGCCGTGCTATCAGCACGCACAATCGTGTTTATCAACGCCATTGACTTAACGTTACATTACTGCATATATAAATATATGAACTACCCCAACCCCGTCTCTAAACCTACCCATCTCTGGGGTTAATAACATTTATGAGTCTTCCCCTACCATCCTAGGAAAAAAATATCGCTCCCCAGATGTAGATCAACAGTTAGCTTCGTTTCGCTCGGACATTTAACGGCGTGTACAAACACGCAGAATCACTCGAACATTTAATGGCATTGACATACACTAAAAAGATGGCGGTTCGTGAACATGCACGCGCATAGCTCAAAATGCGTATAGATAACACGCCACTTGACTTGAAAGTGGTGTGGATGTTTACGCAAAGTCATGATGCCATGTTGCTCACTGCGTGCTGCACAGCTCTGGTGGATAAGAGGAGGAGTGACGACAGTGGAAGAGGAGAGAAGGCCAGGCCTGGGAATTTAAGTTGTGTTTTGTCTGTATGGGCAGCAGTTGGCTATGAACTTGCACCTGCTGTTTACTTTCGTTTTATTTATTTAAAAAACTGCCTTTTACCATTAGCGGTTCCCCCTTCTTACCTGCACCATTATCTTTGATGCATATATATTTATTTAAAAGCATTTAAAATAGCACATTAAGATAAAACACTTGGAAAAATAATAGGCTACTTCAAGAGGTAAGGCCTAAACTTTTTATTTTACGTCAGATGCGTTTTCTTTGGTTCACGGTCAGTCAGGGAAAGCGCAGAATTGACCACTCAAAATACAAACATTGTGCGGGAGTATTTTGAATTAGAGATAAAATAGAAAAGTTTTAATGTAAGCTGTGCCATTTCAAACTTGCATAATTCCATTAGAGCCACGCATAACCATATTCAGGATATGCACGTAGGTGTGATAGCTGTAGCAAGCAAATACCCTTTGCATATTCATTTCGATTCCGAAAATAAATAATCAAGCGGCATTGTGTGCGGCATTTATTATGTGATTTGACTGTTTGATTCATAGATTAAGTGTTCAAATGGATCATATATACACAAGTCTTTAGAGGGTTTCTTTCTTTTAGACTAGTAGGTAACAAAACTTTTGCTGAAGTGATGCGCACATCCCTATTTGAGCCGTCACAATTACAGCAGCGCAGCTTTAAAACATTTCCAATAGACCTAAAGCTTTGGAAGCACAAGTTTTTAATCTGGTATTAAATATCATCAAAATTCCATTTTTTGTTTTGAAAATGGGACTGAAACAGCTGTCTATTTTATAACGAGGTCGATGGTAGCAAAGGGAGTTCTCGGATCTCCTGAGAGGCTCCAAAAGGGATTTGTCAAGGCCTTGGTCGCTCATTGACTGTAAACACAGGAAATGTACAGCTGGATTCAGAACCTAATACTGTAGACTATGCTATACACCACATCACCCCCCCAAAAAACATGACTAGACCTAAATACATTTCACCATGTTGCCTCGAAAGTGAGTGAAAAGCATCAATGATGCACAAAGAATGAGACTGTATGCCAAGTGATGACTACAACAGCTCCCCATTGAGGCTTTATAATGACTGGTAATGAAGCACCATGACCTATCAATAACAGCTTAGCATTATTGCAGTGGGCTGCAGTGTAGGGCTGTAGTAACAGCAGTCCCAGCAAATCTGACCTCAACTATATCAACTTAAATAAAGATCAACTGTGTCACTGAGCCACGAGAGAATAAGAATACTCTAGGAAACAAGGTCAAGTGATTGTTTTATACAATGGAATATAAAACCGATTTGGCAGCCGAAGAGCAACAACAGCAATGGTAATGACATTTTAACCATGTGTGAGCCAGGGATTTCCAATCCTGAACCAACACCTGAACCATCAAAATTGTCAAAGTATCCATTTAAGCTTAAGAATTGAAGACAACTTTTTTTTAATGATCTTGTCTATGAAAGGAAGATTTGAGATCGGTCTATTATTGCTTAAAATGGTCTTATCCAGATTGCTCTTTTTCAGGAGGGCCTTGACAACTGCAGTTTTCAGGGAGTTTGGAAAACTCACAGACTAATAAAGGTCTTACTGGCATACTAAAAACTTCCAGGCAGGTGTTGAGGCATGTTGGAGCTAAACTCTGTAGGACAGTGGCCCTCCAGGACCGAGTTTAGACACCCCTGGTGTGAGCTTTTTCAGTAAATCACACCGTATGGTCAGTAAAGTTTAAAAGGTGTGATCACAGTGATATTTTTGGTGGCATTTCGCCAGCAACCTGGGCGACCATCTTAAACACATTGCAAAATCTGTGTGGCCAAATCTTTCTTATTTTTTTCTTATTTCAAATATGCTTATTTTTGTATAATTACATTAATATTATACTTTTTAATTAAATTCAATACATTTAAGTGATACTGATTTTTTTTTATACATCAATAAAATAACACTTAAGGGTTCACTGTATAAATTATATGTAGATGAATCTGTGTTAAAGCTGTGTTTTGTTGTTTGATTAATGTTAATGATTTAGCAGCAGGTATATATAGGCTGCTGTCACTTTAAGACTGAATGCACAGATCCAATATAATGATACACATCTAATTTCTTTCTCAACTCTTTATGTTCATTAAAGATATAACCGACTGTGCGTTAACGAGAATACTTGCAGAGAAATATATTATCGGCCAGGGGCGTACTGGCCATCTGGAGCACCGGGACATTTCCTGGTGGGCCGTTTCCCAATGTGGGTCTGCCACCCGATACACACAAATTTAAAAAAAATACAAATCAGAAAATCATAAAGATAAATCATAATTGAGAGAGTCGATCGTGTGGGTGCGGCCGACAAAGAGTGTGTTTTGTGTGCATAGTGTGTTGCCCTCCCTCCCAGTTAATTAGTTTGGTCTACAACATTGGGTATCTTGAAACACGCCCCCTTTCACGTCTAATTTACAGAGAGAGATTGATCCGTTACAGTGAATTTCTCTGAGCAGGTAATTACAAATAATTGTCCATGGATAAGAAAATAAAAGGTGGAGGTGAAAAGTTGTTCCGAGCATTAAAACATTTTTTTTTTAAACAATCCAATATTGTTTTCTACCATAAACGTGTTCCTTGTTTTATGTTTTAAAACTTTAACTTAATAATTACATAATTTAAGAATGTGATGATCCTCTATTGTTTAAAATTAGATAAGTTGCATGTGATAGTGTTTTAGAGAAATTTAAATTAGCAACTAACCTTTAGATTTTTGTAGCTATGTTTATTGCAGATAGGACCAACTTACACAATAAGTTTGCTCCTTTTTTTCCATGTGGCTTTCTGGGTAGGTTTTATGAGTATTAATATTATTTGTCTTTGGCTATTTGCTTTGTACTTTACACTAACAGATATTTACAGATAATGCTGAATAATCCCTAATCTGTTTTGTCTCCTTTAAAGGAATCATTTCATCTACACACAAACTCTGTTTCTTATATATACACAAGCTCATTCAAATGCACATACACACACAAGCCATCTCCTCCTCCTCATAAAACTCTGCTGAATATATTTTTAAAAATATAAATATTTTCATTCAGTTTGCTTCCCTTTGTTTTACAAATATAACCTAATATATGTTGCATTACTTAAAATAAATGTTTAAATAGCATTTATTTTACCAAAAATACCAAAAAATACCAAAAAATACTAAAATACCAAAAAACGAAATTTGGGTGCATCCCTAATATAACGTTCTTAAAATATAACCTTCTTAAACAAGAAAAAAAAAAAGTAGCGTTAGTCTTGGATTTTGTCCAACATGATTTGACTGGATAGTTGGATTGATGTAGGATTGATGTAGTGATGTAGGACAGGTTGCAGGAGAGGAGGAAGTACTCTCCATATTTTTGATTAAGAGTAAGAGGGCAAATCAATTCTAAAAAATATAATGTGCATGGATAAATTATTGATAATAATAAACACTGCAATAATCTATAAAAATATATATATATACGAATGATCAATTTTGATTTCTTGGGGGCTTTCATGGAGCATACTAATAGCACAATAGACGTCTGTAAGATGTTCATATAAATACCCAAAGAATCTTCAGCGTCTCTGTCCCAAGACGGGCCAATCCTCCTCTTCTCCTTCCACAGCCCTCTGCTCACCTGAAACAACCACAAAACAAACACAGTTAAAGCCCATTTACACTTCGTATCGATCGGAAAGCTGTCCAATTGGGTATGCACAATCCATTTACACTCGGCTACATAAATGTGTCTCCACAAATCAGATATAAATCTCATCTACTACTCCCATGCTATATGTAAACATAGTTCACTCCTGTGATGATGCTAAACCCAGCCGGTGAAATCTTCCACATCATATGGAATAAGTATTTGAGATTTGCGGCCATTCTTTCTATGTATCTCATCCATGCTGTCACAGACTTTAAGACTAAACTTTACATGTGCGACTTACACAAGCAGAGGCATTTACATTTGGTCTTTTCATGATCCTGTAAGTATCCAATTACAAAAAAGGATTAAATGAATACCCCTGCAAAGGACCTTTTAACCACATAATGTGTCCAGCACACAGAAAAGATAGTTTGACACTAAATAAATATTAATAAGAAATAAATTATTCACTTGACATTCTTGATCCATAGTGACTACCCTTGTTAGACACTCCCTTGTGAAACAGGGGGAAAAAAGGATAGAGTTTATTCACCTGTACGCTAATTCAGCACAACTATGTCTTCAGCCTCTGTGAGCATCTAAGACAGCAGAGATAAACAGTTCCAACACCTTCTTTTGATTTCGAAGCAGGGCTTACTAATACGCAAGTACACAAACATGCTCTTGCACACTGCTTCTCTAAATCTTCAGCTGTAAATTATGAATGTTCTGAGTGTAACGGTGTGATAGACAAGAGCCCTGGAGTCCCATCAGGGTAAAACACAAAGCTTACGTCCCTCAACTTGGATGTGTGTGTGTGTGTGTGTAAGGGTCAAACGGAGTCAGCACCACACAAGGACACAAGCAGATGCTGAAGCACTCAGTCAATAACGTTTAGCCCCCCAGACACCGTTGACCTCACCGGGAGGTCTGTATGAAATCGCTCTTTACCGTCTGTATGACTATAATCTGCTGTACAGCCAAGGGAGAAATGATCTCTTTCTACGATGTATTACTGAGGTTTGCTTATTGATTATTCATAATGCTTCACAAAGTGGCTCTCTATGTCTCTGAATAATGTATAAGAGACTCAAACACATGGTATTAAAATAAAACGAATCAACTTTAGGGCTTTTATTTGTGAAGTTTTGGAAAATGGGACATCCTGTGTTTTTGTAATGATTAGTATAATGAGCAACGTGAGAGTACGATGTTGGTGTGACGATGCGGATTCATTAATCATATTAAATTGGCTTGCATTGATTGTTCATCTAAGTGATAATAAGAGCATTTAAAAAGAGCTTAAACTGAAGTTCATGTGCCAAATGAGATGAGGCCAAATATCTACCGTGCAGTGCTGGCAGCTGCCATAAATAACAAAACAACAAGAACTCTGCAAATGGATTTCACTTACAGTGCATGAACTGTGCTTCTAGAACAAGAATTTATGGTGAAAACATACCAGATTTTTATTTTCTGAAGAAAATGTCAGCAGTGCTTGTCATGTATGTTGTAATGGAAGTCTATGAGATTTTTCTCGCCTGTTTATGTCTATGATTGCTTTGGAAAAAGTCATTATATACGCTACCGTACAAAAGTTTGTGGTTGGTAATATTTTTTTTTAATGATTTAGAAAAATATTTTATGCTCACAAAGGTTACATTTACTACATTTTTGAGGGAAAAAAACAGTAATATTGTGTAATTCTATAAGATAAAATAATGTTTCCTATGTAATCTGAATCATCAGCAGTCATACTTCAGTCTTTTTTATATCTTTTTTTTATACTGATGATGTAGTTTAGTGTTTCACCACTGTATGACACTCTCACCATTCATCTCCACCGTCAAAATCACAATCATATCTGCCAGTTAGCTCCAATAGAAAAGTAAAAGCACATCCTTCTAGTCACGCTTGGAGCACAAATGCTCTAAAACTTGGGGGTTTTGCCTTAATGAAAAAAAAAAAAATACATTTACCCAGCCTCATGTAGTCAGGTCCTGTCGGTCAGTAAATAATCAATTTTCATTTTTGGGCCTACTATTCCTTCACACATACAGTAAATGACCCATCATGTACCCAATGGCAAAAGGCCAAGCCACCTCCAAATGTAAAAAATTACACTTTGATTAAAGCTTTCCTCTTCAAGCATTGCGTAGTGTTTACTCCAATAGAGCTGGCGATAAAATATCAGCAGACGGCCAAGTCTGTGCAGGTATGTGTGTTTGTCCACCAAAATGGTTTTCAGTGAACATGTTTATCTCGGGCACACACACACTTTATAAGCAGTCGTGTGATGTGACCTGGAGTCTGTAATTGCATATATAGGCTGAACAGTGTGCTGTGTGTGACTCCATACTGCATCATTGCTCAGTGTGGCTTCATGATACAGACACAGGCTTTTTTTTTTCCTTTTTGTCCAACTCCAACCCTTAAAACTGCAGTCCGTAGCTTTTTGGCGGTAAAAAATTATCCAAAATACATATTTATGAAAATACATAACCAGCCAGTGTTAAAAACTATCTGCGTGTAATTCTAGTGGTACTGGTGGATTTCCGCGGGAGATTCGAGCATGGATCATTTGCACGGTTTTGCGTGATAAGCAATTTTTAGATTTAATCAGTGCGATTTACTGCAATGTCAGAACCAGAAGAAAAGTGGATGTTTCTTACTAGTTCAGATGACATTTTCCATTAAAAATTATTTTGTTGGTCATACTTCCAAAAAGAATAATCTGTGATTCTGAATGCCAGTATCCACATCGGTGAGGCGACTGACAGCCTCACACTCTCCTCAAACATTGTGTTCATCCACGCTGTGCGCTGTCGAAGCACAACTCACGTAAAGTTGATAATTCCGCAAATAACCGCAATTGCAGATTTCGAACAGAGATGGCGACAAAGAGGAAAAACTGCGGACTGCAGATTTAAGTATGACTAAAAACACTCTTGTCTGATTCCGATTATGTCAGCACTCACTAGCAAAAAAGTTGCTCATCTTGACTTTAGTAGAAGTCCTTCATGTAAATCTGGCAATTGTTACACTGAAAGCTTGATCATGGTAAAGTTTTAACAGCAGCAGACAAACATCATTCCGATATTGAAAGTAAAATATTATATAATAAACATTTAACATGCCATAAAACACATTTATAGTCTTTTAACATCACAGTACAATGCAGCAGCCTTTTCATAGTCTCTCACTGTAATGGCTGTCAACAGATCACTGAATAAAACAGCAGCAGGTGTTTTTGTTGTCGTTTAAAAACACTAGTTTAGCAACAGACAAACAGATTTAACAGGGTATGGTTAGAAGTGCACACAGCTGTACCCAGGCCTAAATTAGACCGGACTGACTGCATGTCAAAAAGAGAAGCAAAATTATAGCCTTCAACCCTCGACTCTGGTATTAAACTTAAATTGGAGAGCTTCAGTGATGTCATTATTACCAGCCATGTGACCGAAACGGAAGAGGCCCTGACTACACCAATAATGTCTAATGAAAAGTCTTTTTAAAAAAGCAAATGTATTATCATGGGATTAAAATATGGATTTTTTAGGGTTAAATGAGCTTATCATTTATGACCCTGGATCACAAAACCAGCATGGGTATATTTGTGGCAATGGCCAAGAATATATTGGATGGGTCAAAATTATCGATATTTTTTTTTTTATTACCAAAAATCATTAGGATATTAAGTAGATCATGTTCCATGAAGATATTTAGTCAATTTTCAAGTGTAAATATATAAAAAACATTTATTTTTGTGCGTGAATGCAGCAATCCCAAACATAAATGTGGAACTTTAAAAGGCGATTTTCTCAAATTTAGATTTTTTTGCACTCTCAGATTCCAGATTTTCAAATAGGTTTGAAATACTTGCCTAAAATAGTATTATATATTATTGTAAAAAATATTTACATTTTTAAAATATGCATAGGTTGACTTCATATATATACTGTATATATATATACTGTTTTTCAAAAAAGTGGGAGCAAACAGCGGCAGGAGTGCGATGGAAACCTGTTAGTTAACCATTCTGATATGAGTCGACAGAGGCAAAACTATTGTGTACTAAGGCGTACACAATAGTACACCTTATTTTAAATACATGTTCAGAATTTTACTTTAATAATGTGAAATGATATATAAAAATAAAAAATAAAAGTTTATAATTTTACAAAAAGGAAATAATAAAAATAAGTGTATTTGTAATGTAAGTGTAAGTTGTAATATAAGTTAATAAATAAAGACGCTATATACAATTATGTTCACCAATGAATAGTTTAAAATAAGTAAGAAAATATTTATTCAATATATTAATACTTAAATTTAATAAAAAGTTGAGTTTTTTAAGAATAGAAATCAAAAGTGACCACAAGTGGTTAGAGCATAAAAAGTACACAAAACGACCCAATGAATCTTGATTTTGGTACAGGTTCTCGATGCCAACATCCAGCAGTTTAAAAAGAAAAACCTCAGCTGTTAAGAGTCCCAGGACTCAGCAAGACCATTATCGGTTCAAGAGTCAACTCTACCAATTAAGCTTATTCACCTCAATACAGATACTGTATCTGCCCTTGTTTCTCACACAATAGGTCTACTAGTAGGTCTTTGTAGAGTCACTGGAGATTCATGTCTTTACAAAAAGGCCTTTGCTCCGTCCATTTGCACTGTGAGTGCTAACAGCCGACAGCTTTCATTTCCTCACTTTTGTGTGAGTGTGTGCATGTGTTTGAAAGAGAAGATCTGCAGCGCTGTATGTGAATAATAGATTCAGGCCCGCGGGTTCCCTTCAGTGAGCTCTGCCTGTTTAAGTGAGAGTAGCCTACGGAGACATCTATTACCCTCCTGTCTGTCTCTCTCCCTCTCACTTGTTCTCAAGCACCACATTAAAAGGCAAAAAAAAAATGTTTCCCTTTTCAGAGCAAGACAAGGTCTAACAGAGTACAAAATCAAACGGCACATCCCTCTGGGAGTTGAAATAA